GTCAGCAAGCTAACAAAGGCAGTGAAGTGGTGGCCTCATGAGAACTTCCTGGTTGTGTTCTTCCCCTCAGCTTCCATCCTTATGACATCACCAGGCTTGCTTATATTTCACTGTGGGGAAACAAGAGTGTGAATGCTCCCTGTCTGTTATTAGAACTGAACGCCTCCTTTGAGTTTATTTCACAGATTGGCTGCAAGGGTGTCACACGACATACTGGTAGAAGCTGCCTTCACAATGAACTACACAGCTTTAAATGGTACCCAAGTAAGCTTAAAAATGCCACCATGTTCTCTCCCGCTTCAAGTACATCTCGGAGTTATCTCTGTACACACTGCCAACCTACTAGCATCCTGATTTCAACGTTACAGTTAAAAAGTTCTGGCTCAAAGAATTAAAAGTGTCAACTGTGAGAAACCAGAATGTTTGGAGAGGCAAGTAAGAAGGAAGCTGGTGGAGGGAGGTCCCAGAAGCAAGGCGACTTCTCAGCAGCCACTGAGCTTCACAGCAAAAGACCTCGTCCAGCAGAACCCTGACCCCAGGAGGAGAGGGGACAATGCAGGAAGATTAAGCCATTTTTAGTTATAAAGGCACACAAATTCCTAAGAAATTCTATATAAAGCAATCACTTTGTTTCCCTTACATTTTTATACATAAACTAATCGTTTATTATTTTGAGAAACAAAATAGAGATTAAGTTTTACAAAGAGTGATCCAATTAACAGTGAATTCTCTCTCTGATCTTTTGCTCAGAGAACAACTGCCAGTGACCCAATTTACAGCAGAGGAAACACACTGACAGTTTGGAACTGATTCATGCTACTTACCCTGGCCCCATTGATCAACTGGCACAAGCACGCTGTCAGTGCTACTGAACATGTCATCCTGAAAGAATGTTTGAAATGCATCCAACATCTCAGGCCAGGCTATCGAGAGGAAAGCAAAACTAGAAACTGCTATATTCTGGACTTGGTTGCAAGCCAAACCAAGACTCTTAGACCAGGAGACACCTTCTAAATAAACTCACATTAATCCAAGTTCTGTATTTAAATAAGTTCTATTGGTTCCTAAGATGTTTGAAAGGCAACACAAAGACAAAATCAACTATTTCTAAGTTTGTTTATTACAGAGTTCTAATACTTTGGTACTAGAGATAAAGCTCAGTGGGTGAGTGTGTGCTTAGCATACACGAGGTCCTGGAAATACTCTCAAATGTAGTCTTTTTATAAAGACCATTTCAGTTTAACATGCCTGGATCATTTTATCAATTTTAGAGTCAAATCATTTTCCATATCATATCCAGTGGCTAGATATTTTTTAAAGCTCCTATTTTCTTCCAATGTATTACCTCATTCCAATATATTCCACTATAAATACATTCCCATGTATTACCTACCTACCTACTCTGCTAGGTACTGGGCTGGAACCCAGGGAGTCAATAGTGAACACAAGATAGCCTACGCCCACTATACTTGCATGCACAGGAATAAATATATGAACTACGGATATTCTGGCTTCTCAGAGACTATTTGACATAGTCTAGATACACCTTCCCATGACAGCTGTTAAAGGAGAACATGCCACACTCCCACTCCTGAATGTACTGGGTATATTTTTCTTAGGCAGCATTCTGTTGCTGTGAGTGAGCACCACAGGCAGGGCATATCTCACAGTTCCGAAGCCTGCAGAGTCCAGGTACAGCAAGGCAACTGTTTCTAAAGAGGGCATTCTTGCTACATCAAAACATGGCTGACAGTATCAACTGCAAAGCAGAGCAAGATGCCAAGCAGCTGCTTTTGTAACAAAAGCCAGCCCCTGAATATCCCATTAATTCACTAACCGGGTTAGCTCTCAAAGATCTCACCTCTCAAAGTGCCACATGTATGCTAAGGCTAGAGAGTAAGCTCCCAACACACTTTCCGGGGAGGTCTCCAAATCACAGCACCTACATAGGAAATTGTGTACAAGAGCGCTTTTCCCTGTTGGATGCCTTGCCTGCTATCTCCCTTAGTATCACCGTGATGTAAGAGAAAAATACACACATTTCATTAAAGCAGTGAGATTATCTCAAGAGCCTTTTTTGTTTTTATTCATGCACAAAAATTACAAAGAAAACCTTTTATCATAGGGCTGGTTACACAACCCAAAGAAAACCAATCTTAATTCGGGTCATGGAATCCTCAGGCATTGTCTCTATAAAAGTGGTTTCAGAGGAAAGCTTTATACCCAATAAAAGTGAAGCCTAGGAACAAGGTCCAGAAAAAAAATGTAGTAAGAGCACTTTAGGCACTACAGTGACTCAACACTCAATCTCATTAAACACATTAATGCTGGTAAATTTTATCTCAAGAGGAAACAGCTGAGCAGAAAATGAACAGAAGATTCAGATATTAGGCTTCTGCCAAAATGCTAAAGTTCCCTATGATCTTGGATTCTAGGCAGCAATCAAATGCACATTAATAATTATTTTATCTTAGGGCTTTTGGTCACTTTTGTTCCTTTTAGGGTCTTGCTACAGATCCCAGACTGGCCTGGAACTTACTGTTGAGTTCAGACTGGCCTTCAGTTCATGATCCTCTTGCCTCGGTTTCCCATGTAGGATTTACAGATGTGTATTATCACATACCTTTATCACAGCTTTTAATCTATATGCTACTTCAAAAAAAATTCAACTTAATAATATCATTTTCTCACTAATTTGCCTGAAACCACTTACTGGGTTTATTTTAGACCTTATTTGTAGCAAAAGCCATTGGTGGCACTCTTGGTAAAACTCTGCTTTATTGGGGTGTTTAGGCCTCTCTCTCCCTTCCACCAACCCCCAACCTTAGGTAGCAGAAAGAGAAAAGGTTCGTGGGTAGAAGAGACCCAGACCCCTTTACTTCTCCCAGCTAGTTAGGGTCAAGGGGTTCTTTGAGGGCTCCATACCAGTGTCTGTCAAGCCTCTACACCCTGAAGAATTTCTGTCTGCTCCACCACACCACCTCTGGTCTCTCCGAACTGCCACACACCAAACTCCACTGAACACCCCCCAGTCTCTAGGCCTCATATTTATACTGAGTCCTAGACCACGCCCTATCCCTACAGTGTAGGTGTTACCAGCTGGCAAAGACCGTGACCCGCAAGTGACAATTCACAGGTGTGGACAAACTATAGTCCAACTAAAATCCCACCCTTGGGATTAACACACAAAGAAACCAGAACTTGCATTACATTATCCTCACCATGGGAATGAACCTGAAGGAAACTTGGTCTAACTCCCAGCATCAGCTCTCCTTAGGGCGGTGGGGTCTTGGCTATTCTGCAAAGAGTAACTGAAGGAATGAATGTTTAACAATCAGTTTAAGGAAATAAGTGTGTAAATAAGAATAACCATTTTATGACCTACCTTTTCAGCTGTTCATGTCCTGTGCTTACTGATCCAGGCTTGCTGCTACTAACACATATAAACTGGCACAGCAGTAGAGAAGAAACATTAAATACAAGAAGTGAACACTGAATTTCCTTCTTCAAAACTAATAAAACAAGCACTAAGCAAGGCAGGACAAATGAGAAGGACATCAGCAAACTTTTCAAAGAACTAAAAACCTCTCACAAGCAATACCATTTTTATACACAAATACTGTAAGAATTTTTTATGCATGTAAGAAAGGTTGCTACTGACATCCCACAGGAAAAAAAAAATGTATCACTCTACCCCCAAAGATGTAGAAGTATATGCACTTGAATTAGCAATGTGCACTGGCTGAAGCTAAAAATTGTCCTTGTGTATAAATACTGCGCTATCTCTCACTACCACGTCATCTGAAACTATGTCAAAATCCTCACACTCTCCAGTGGAAACTGACTGCCAGGGATCCTGATTTGAAAACACAAGTAACCTATTTAGGGCAGTAAAAGGCTTAAAGAATACCTTGAAGAACATCATTCTGCTTTCTGGTGTAGGTTTTCAGCACCTCCCAAAGATCACAAAATAAATGAAGCAGTAGATAGCCACATAATTCTAACAGCATGTTCCTGACCAAATTATGTAACCAGTGCTGACACAGAATAAAACTTTACCTAAAGCTCTAGAGATCCACAATTAACATTTAAATTTCTAATTTTGTCTTTCCTTGGTAACCAATGTAATCCTTCCAAGCATGCAACTGTAGTACCTAAGCAATCCATTGAAAAGTAACAAATCCAAACAGCCTACTGTCATTCTGCAACATACCTCACATCCAACACTACATGCAGGCAGGTTTAGCTTTTAGTCTATTTGTGTCACTTTAATCAAACACTCAAAACTGGGTGATGAATAAAAGAAATTTCTTACCTTTCTAGAGACTGAGAAGTCCAAGAAACTGTAATGTTTCTTATCTGGTAGGTCAGTTCCTTACAGATATTGGCCTCTAGGCATCCATGAGCTGCAGAGGTCCAAAAAAGGCCTAAAGCTAAATTTTCCAGCCATTTCACCAGGCCAAAGCCCTCAGGACTTAATCTCTTTCCAAATGCCCCACCTAGTGAGAATTAAGTTTCAACTCATGATTTTTGAAAGGGGCACATTTATACCATAAAATGCAGTGTACAACTAAGTCTGGTTAGCACATTTCAAAGCAGATTCCCACTGCCAAGAACCACCAGATTAGGTAAATTCAGGGCACTGTTTCAGCAACTCTAATACAGGAAAGGCTACACCAAAAGAGTGGATCACAAAGTATGGTATTTAATTACACTTGGGCTGGCGAATTGTACTTCCCTGTTTATTAGCCAATAGGTACAACTATAATTTGACAGGAATTATAATTAGAAATAACAAGAGCTATTTCTTGAGTCACCATGCCCTTAAATCATATTTCATTGAGAGTTATCCTTTGAAATGACTACTTTCCCATTCATGTGAGAATTTGGGAAACCTCTCAGGATTCTGGAGCATTTTTTTAAGTGAAAAGAAATTGTGTACATTTAAAAAGCTCTTAGAGACTTGGCTACTTAAAAACCACTCTACCCAAAAAAAGATGTAAAAGTATACATTTTATTCATTCATTCAATCAGCTGAGAACTGCTATATTGTACAAATACATTATTGTACAAAAAAATCACAAAATGTTACAAAATAAAAAAGTACAAACTGCATTACTTAATAAATACAATAAAAGTAGTTAAAGTGGCAACATAAGTTTGTTTGTTTTTCTTTGGGTTGGAAACACTGTTTGACCCAGCAAACCATACAAGCTGTTTACATTTTTACATAATACAAAGTGGATTCTGTTTTTCCTTTTGGAAGAACTTTAAAAGAACAGAGTATAAGACAGTTGCCTCCTGCTGGAAGTAACGGCCTCTGGCAGGCCCAGCTTCTTAATGCTCATTTTGAAAAGCTTAGTTGAAACCAAGAAGCTGTAACACAGGAGGCTGAACTTCTCACAAAATTTCATGAATGCTTTTCCTAAGTTGATGAATAAAAAAAGAAAACAATCGAGAGCACCAGGCACTTTACTCTAAACATCAGAGTACACCAGCGAACAGCAGACTTCTATTCAAGTAAGGCCTGGTACTGTCATTTTTTAAAAAACGTAAACTGTCTTCAAAGTGGACCATTTCTTAAATAAAATAACGTTTCCCCCAAACAACAAATCGTCTTGTTTCATCAGGATGGAATGGGCTAGTCATCTGGTAACATAATGTATCAATATCCATTTGAAATAATAATTAAGAATTGTTAACCATTTCAACAACGTAAACTAACTACTAAATCACAAACTGAAATAAACTTCATAGAAAGAACTTCTCTGGATTATGCTTAAAAGCCGTTTCTCGCAATTGGAACACGTCATAGATGAAAGTACACCCATTTTTAAAAATGTGCAAAAATACACTTTTATAGAAAATAGACTACCAGGAATGAACAAATTCATACCGTGAGACATCAGCTTGCAAATTAAGTAGCGCTCACTTTATACAGCAAATTATAGTAGGCTCGCCCAAAGCTATCAGGAAACATCATTCAGGTGCCCAGCAACCTGCGGCTCTGAGAGAACATTCCAAAACTGATTAAGGCATTACACCTAAAGCCAATCTACTAGGAAGTTGAAAAGTGCCATTACCCTAATTAGAGTTCGTGTGGTTCTCCCAACACAACTGCTTTTCGCCAGTTCCCGGCTTGTCAGGTCCTCAGACTTTTCAAGAGCATGCATTTTGTTCAATATACATTTTGGACAGGGATATGGCCATGGATTTGGCGAGTTCTTCATCGCGTTTTCTCTGCATTTGGGTTTGCTTGCACCAATTGTCATACTCTGGGTTGGGATAGGAGTGATCAAAAACAGCATCATAGTGTCCGTTGCTGAGCCAACTAAGCCAAATATTGGGCCTTAACGCATCCTCCGGGCCCAGATAGTGGACCATGGTAGACACGGTGGGGCTCTCCAGCCTCCCTCCAGTAGTTAAGTGTATATTCACATTCAGCATCTGCCCCATGGCCAGCAATTCGGGGTACCCGGCCCACGCCCCGTCTTGGGCGGCGGCGATAATAAACTCCCCCACGTCGCCCTCAATGAGGGGGCTGAAGTGGTCGAGGTGGTCCGCGATGTAGTGCACCGTCTGCTCCCTCAGCTCGCGGTGCAGGCTCTGGTCCCCGTACACGGCCTTGCTGACGGCGCGGTAGAGGCAGTTGCCGTCCGGGATGATGTGGAACCGGTACTTGCTCCTCTGCCTCAGGTACTTGTCCTGCCTCTCCACCTCGGCCAGGTACAGGGCGAGCTTCTCGTCTCTCGGGTCCGCCCGGGGCGCGCCCACCGCCTCGCCCGCGCCGTCCGGGGTCGGCTCGGCGCCGCTGCGAGCGGCGGC